AGAAAACAACTTCATGCCGTATTATTGATTTCAAATTCAGTGAAAGTATAGTTGGAGATGTATTGAAGGAGTTAAGAATGTCTCAAGGCCTGGGGTGGGGGAAAATGATCTAAAAGATTCTTCAGGGCGATGAGATGGCTCCGTGTGTAAAGACACTTGATCACAGGCCTGACAACTTGAGTTCTATCTCCAGAGGCCAAGTGGTGGAAGGGGAGAACCAACTTCTGCCAATTACTCTCTGACCACCACAAGTACATGATATATAGGCGAAAATCAATGTAATGTTACAAATTATAAGGTTCTCCAACATCGGCATCTTGGCAGCAAAATTTCCCTCCTTGAAAAGCAGTGAATGGGAGGCACTGGAGGGAAGGGTCATGCCCTTCAGAGGGATTTCTTCAGTCTTCCCTTCCTCTTTGTTTTTTAAGATTTATTTCTTTATTAAGTATACAATGTACTGCTGGCATAGAAGGTACCAGGTCACCAGGTCTCATTACAGATGGTTGTGAGCCACCATGTGGTTGCTGGAAATTGAACTCAGGACCTCTGGAAGAGCAGACAGTGCTCTTACCCTCTGGGCCATCTCTCCAGCCCTCTTCCCTTCCTCTTAACTTTCAAGACCAGCTCTTTACAATAATTTTTACTACTTATCTCTGTGTATGTACCCAAGGAGATCAAGGGCTGTCAGCTCTCCTAGAGCTCAGGTTGCAGACAGGAGGGAGCTGCCTGATATGGATGCCGGGCACGAAACACAAGTCTGCTACGATCGGTGCCCTTCCTTAACTACCAAGTCGTCTCTCCAGTCTAAGCCAGCACTTGGAAGTTGCCCGAGATAGTTACTCTTTTCTGTGTCAGTATGTTCCATAAATTGACTAATCCATAAACGCTTGTGAACGGAAACGCTTTGCATAAAGGAGCAGCTAACCGCTGTTGGGCTGATGTGCACGGTGACCCTGCAAAGGGAGACAGAGACAGCAAAATGCTGCTGAAGTGTATTGCGTGGGTGCAGGCTTGAGGCGGGCTACAGGCAAAGACACAGACTCTCCCACGACCTTACCACAAGACGTTCTAATGTGTTTTGTTGTTGTTTGTTTGTTTGTTGACAGTCTCACTATGTTGCTCTGGCTGATCTGGAACTCGCTGTGTAGATCACACTGACCTCAAACTCAGATATTCACCTGCATCTGTCTCCCTACTGCTGGGGTTAAAGGTGTCCACCGCCACATGCGCGGTTCTAATTCTTTAAACCAGCTCAGGTTACACTGCTGTATTGGTGGTCATTCGCTCCATGCAGCTATTCATATTTCAGTACAACTTTAAAACTTAGTATTTCAAGTCACACAGCACATGTCTAATCACTACTTTATTGACTGTCTCAAATTAAAAAAACCACTTTGCTGGCTGTGATGGTATGTGTCTGTATAATTCCAACACTTGGGAGGTGGAGACAGGAGGATCAGGACTTCAAAGCCATCCTTGTCTACATAGTGAGTTCAGGTCAGCCCAAGCTGTGTGATAATCTATCTCACAATAAAACAAAAAAAAGATGAAAAGACAATAGTTGCATTTTAATAGACCGTTCTCTTAGACAGCACAGATCTAACAAGTAAAGTTTCTCTGGACTGATGAGGTGGGGGCATGAGTCCTAAATGAGTTATATTTAGCTTTCTTTTATAGGCCTACCTAAGTCCCTTCACCTAGAGAAGCATACGTGATGTGGAATTCTCCTCTGTGTGCTGTGAATGTGTTTTATTAGCATTGGTTCATAAAGAAGCTGCTTTGGCCCATGACAGGGCAGAATATAGGTAGGCAGGAAAACTAAACTGAATGCAGGGAGAAAGAAGGTAGAGTCAGGCAGATGCCCTGTAGCCGCCCAAGAAGCAAGATGTGAGGTAACAAACCACGAGCCCTGTGGTAAAAACATAAAATAATAGAAATGGGTTGATTTAAGATGTAAGAACTAGCTTGGAATACGCCTGAGTAGCTGGCCACAGTGTTGTGATTAATATATTTATGTGATGAGTTGGGTCAGGGTGACTGGGAAACGAAAGCGCAGTTTCCGTTTACATAGGCTTAGGTCCTTCATTTAGGATAGAATGAGTGCATTCCTCAGAGCACTTTCTGCCCTCTCAGAATGTATGCTGTGCAATAATAATAGATTTGCTTCCCCAAATCAGCAGACATTCATTCTCTGTTTCCAAGGGTTTTTTTTTTTTTTTTTTTTTTTTTTACCCCAAGGGAGATCTGGCCACCATGAAGCAATCACTCCTCACTTCCCCATCTCCCAGTAACCAGCCCTTTGCAATGTCTTTACAGATTCGCCTATTGTAGATATAGTAAAGAAATGGAATTATACGCTATGTGGCCTTTGACTTCTGACTTTTTTCACTTTGCATAACATTTGTCGCTGAAAAATACTCTATCACACTGGGTATTTGCAATGTTCTTTATGAGCAATTACTGAGCTTCTTGGCTTTGTACTTTTCAGCCACGATCTATAGCAATACTATGATACTCTTGAACAAATTTTTCTGTTTTCTTTTCTTTTTTCTTTTTTGACACAGAGTCCAAATGTAGTTCTGACTGGCCTGGAGCATGCTAGGCAGACTGGCCTCAAACTCAGAGGTCCACCTGCCTCTGTCTCCAAGGTAGTGGGATTCAAAGGCATGCACCACCATGCCAAGCCAGTGTCCTTGACGATTTAAGTGGAATTACTGTATTATGCTGCAATTTTTACCTTTGTTTTTTAAGAAACATTGTTCTGTAGATCGGGTATTTAATCTCATTTCACCTTGTGTCCATACAATAAGGCTATCATTTTTTTCTTTACTTAACAACATCTAACATATAAGAACTACTTGTTTACAGTTAGGTTGAATGGATGTGGCCTTTAAGGTAATATCCCCTCGTTCAGGAACTGGAGAGTACCCTGTTGAAATTTAGGATAAGTATGTGGTTAGCATTTTATTAACCTGTTGGAAATTTTAGCCTCATTCATGTTTACAGAGTGCCTACCGTGTTCTGATGGTAAGCTAGGCACTGGGGCTGTGCAGCAATGCAATTTAGCGGAAGAAGACTCGTGACAGATGGATGGAGCACTGTTCCTGGGTGCCTGAGAGACTTGGTGAAGGCCTCACACTGGAAGGGATATTTCAGTTCGCTCTTAAGTGCTAAGTGCCATTCAGGAAAGAAGAAATATGAGAGCCAAGCAAAGCGTTTTTCCTAGATGAGGCAGGGTATAGAACTATGCGTAAGTGAGCTCACCCACAAGACAAGTAGACTCCGTGGTCCTCATTCTTTCCTTGTATTTGTGGGCTGGAGTTCACTCGCGGCCGCCAGAAGTGAGCGATTTGACATGTCATTTTGGGTCAGCCTCCAACTCTGGAAGAAACAAGCTTCTCTCCTTTGAAGTGAGCATATGAGCAGCTAAATTGGACTTCTGTTTTGGCAAGGGCCATGGCCATGAAAAGTGATCATCCAGGAGTCACAAGCATGTATGTGTGTAAGGGTGTATGTGTGCACACACACACGCATGCGTGTATATATTTCCGAGGCTTGAAGAGGAGTGCCCCCGATAGGACTTTCTTCACCTTGCCTCTGTCCTGTTTTACTCCATTTTCCAGCCACGTGAGGCTCAACCCACGTCCAGTCTGCTTTTCCAATATAAAGGTTCATTAATATAAGCGACAGAAAATGGAGATGATTTTCTCCCATGGACTGTGGTTCCTAACTTTGACCTAAGATAGATGCAATCACTGTTTAGTGTAGGTCCAACTGGATCCCAACTGGTATCTTTTAAGCATTTTTCTATCAGCCACACTTCTTAAGGGTTCTGTGAGCCCAAAAGCACAGAAGGAGAGAAAAGCTTGTAGGAAAATGGTCGCATATGGTGTGTTGTTTATTTGTTCATTAAGATAAACGGCAGAACATGGAGCTGCTTTTCTCCACTGCCTATCTGGGTGGCAGAGATTTGTAAGAGTGGCGTGTGGATTTACATCGCTTGCTTTTAGTTTCTAGGAAGATCCAGAAGAGGTAGGTTGAGAGGGTTAAAGAGCTACAAGGAAAGAGATGCATGATGGGAACAGTTATGGTCCCCTCTTCTCCCCAGAGATTAGGGCCCTGCTACTGTCTTTCCGATGAAATTGTGGCCTCTTCGGAGCGTCTGTGTTCTATCCCTGAGGCTCACGCACACATAAATGTCTTTATGGCAGACTTTTCCTGAATTTCTGGATTATAAAAGTGTGTATAAAGTTCTTGGAATAATGCCTGCCAAATAATATGCACCTTGTTAGTATTAGGGTAATTATTATGTTATGAATCAGCCTCATCTCTCCAACTAGGTATTAAGTTCTTTGTCGGTGACCTCAACCCATCTTTCTCCTTTCTTGGACAGTACCTAGCACAGAGTTCTTAATATATTGACGGTATTGGGCTCTCCCACAAATCGCTTCTTTTTTGTTAGCTTCTGGTAGATAGGGACCATACAAAGATTGTGTGTGGCGTTCAATTTCAGTTCACAAACACCGTTTGGTACCTACTGTTTACAGAGTCTGACCTAAGCCCTACACCCTACAGTAAAAAGTACAGAAAAATAAATGTAAAGTCAAAGTGGCTTGCATGAGAGAATCCAGGGAAGCACCTTTCCCAGCATGGTGGAGGTTCACAACCACCCGCACTCAGGGACAGTAGCTGGATTCCATAATGATCCCAAGTTCCCGCCACTCCTGCGACACTGTTCCCACCCCCAGATGCTTGCTGGGCCGACCCCACTGGGTGTAGCGGGGAACCGAGCGGGTTTCAGAGTCCTGCTGGCCCCAGGTGAGGTGGGGGACCAAGGCCAGGGCAGCAAAGCTCCAGGAGTGACCCCGCCCACCCCACTCCTCCTGTCCAATCAGAGAGCGGTTCTCGAACACGCTACGACCAATCAGGAGCGGCGGGAGCTGAGCCTAGAGCCGGCGGGCGCCCAGCGAGGCCAGAGTCGCGAGCGGGCAGTGGTGGCGCGGCGACCCGGAGGCAGCTCTGTTAGAGCGGCGGCGGGACGGAGGCTGGGCTGGGGAGCTGGTGTTGGAGCGGACCTCAGCGCCGACGCCGGGACTCTGCTCACCCCGACACTGGTGAGTACAACCCGCGGTGGGGAGCGACCTAGGCGCCGCAGGTGGACGGAGGGGGGCGCCGGCCGCGAGGTCCTAGCGCCGTGCGTCTCCGAGCACCGCGCACGGAGCCGACGCCGAACGCCACCGAGCCACCAGCCTTAGGGGGAGGTTGAGGAGGGACGAAGGGAGGCGGCCTCCGCGGGGTGTTCGTGGGGAGTCTCCTGTGACCCCCATACTCACCCCAGCACTTCTTGCCAGCCAATGCCTTCCCCTGAGATCCAACTCGGCCAGGGCAGCTTCGCTGTCCTGAGTGGGGAGGCGACAACAGGTGTCCTTGGAGACAGTGCCTTGCCCCACCCCCGCTCGAAATCCCGGCCTTGGCGTTGCGCTCCAGCTTCGGGGTGTTCTGAGACAGGACCCCAGCCTGGCCTCTCAGGCGCTCTGCCCGCTGGACAGCGCCCAGGGGCCGCTTGGACCCCGGGCTTTGGATGGAGTTTCCTGCGCGCGTTGCCAAGCAATTTGCAGGTCACCGCCTCTCGTTGGGATGGAGAGTTGAAGATTGGAGAAGGCGGGGGACAGAGGAAGGGGGGAAGATTTGCTGGACACTGACCTCTCCATGAGATGAAGAGTTGGAGAGAGAGAGAGAGAGAGAGAGAGAGAGAGAGAGAGAGTGTGTGTGTGTGTGTTCCCACACAGACTCTGTTGAAAGGAGCTGCCTGAGGGCCTAAGTGAATCATTAACTCTGGTTCTGTGCCGCTACTGCGGCTGCTTGCCTTCCACCCTGTCTCCTCCAGGCTTTCTGCGCCTATTTTGCTCTTATCTATAAAGTGATGACACTGATTGCACTCCTTGTTTGAAAGATTGTACGAGCCAGGATCTGAAAAATATCAAGCACAGCACCAAGCATTCGATAGATGCTGGCTCTTACTATTTATTGTGAAGTGGATGGTTGTTTTAAGAGCAAATCAGACCTGTCCAAACAGGCCCAACAGTCATTTGGAGCATTTAGCAGCTTTCTACTCTCCAAGGAGAAAAATGTCAATGTTACTGATGGTCTCGTTTAAAGGTAATAAATATATCCTATGGGAAAGGATGGCAGAGGTAAATGAATCTGAATTAGTAATCAATGCTTTGTATCCCTGTGAATGTTTTTCAGAAAGAATATCACGGTACTTTGTTGAATTCTCTCTCTCTCCCTATTTGTATGGTTGATCGGAGTAATGGAGGAATTATTCTTTAGCGTTTTATGATTCTTATTCTTTTTAAAGGTGAGAGAGAAAAGCAGAAACACAAAGGAAATTCTCAACCTTATGACAGAATGCCAGCAGCTGACAGAAAACTGAAATTTGTGTTTCTGTCTCTATGCAACTGATGGGATGCCTGACTCAGGTGCTCTAAGTCAGATCCTTGCCCCTTTGCTGTTTAATCTGAGACACAAGCAGACACTTGACTACATGCTTATTTGTGCTACTAAACCTAAGATATCACATGTATCGCTTGTTGGAGTTGTGAGCCTTCTCCTGCCTCCTCCTCCTCTGGAACAAACCCTAAAGACCTCTGTGTTCTCAGTGGCCATCTGCTTATCTCGGCATCCCACCCCACCCCTGCAGCCTGGACCTGGGAGGGGAAAGGTCAGACAAACTAACCCTGTTTTTCTGAGGTTCCCAGTGCCTTGTCTACCTGAGGATGAATACACCATCTAGGAAAAGTGTGTCTTCTCAGGCCCAGGGTGCATTTCTAGCTGCAAATCGTGCAAGTGTGAGATTAGTGTGGATTTCAGCTGTTGTTGTAGCCTTTTCCTTCCCAGCAGAGTGGGAGGATTGGAAAGCTTGCAGCTGGGGAGGGACAGAGGTATGTGGCACAGGGCAGATTGCTTCATTCAAAGCCAGACTCCCACCCGGTGAGAGCCCTGGCTCTAACTGTAGCTGGGAAACTTGGCCACCCTGCTTTGGTTCTCTGAGCCGGTCTCCTCACGAGTGATAATGATTTTGTTAGATAGCGAAGAGACGGTATAATAATAATGATGATGATGATGATGATGTTAGGTGGGAAGCCCATGACACAGCTCCCAGGACAGAGTTTCAGGTCTGTGGCCTCTAGAAGAGGTTCTAAAAGTGAGGGTGACCTTTTAGAGATAAAGCCCAGGTTGAGAGTTCACCACTTGAGCTCAGGATAGAATGAGCAGCCGAAGTCATTGGCAGCAAGGTAGAAGAGAGGAGAGAAGCCACTGCAAGTGGGGTGGAAAGATGACAAGTGTTGCTGTAGTCAGCTTGGGCTAAGTGACAAGTCACCCCAAATCCCACTGCTCTATGGTCACTCAGACTCCTTGCTCCTTGATGCTGTGATCCAGGTGGATCCTCACATGTCTTTATTTACAGTCCCACATAACTTAAAAACAAACCAGCCTTGCCCAAAGACAATACCAACTTCACTTATGGCAGGGGAAAGACGTAGGATGCTCACAGTTAAAGTTTGCTAGGATGTGAGCGGTGGCTGGGCTGTCCCTACAGCTCCATACTGTTGGCCAAGGTCAGTGACATGGTCAAACATGATGTCAGAGACAATATAAGCTTCCTGCAGATGGGCAGACATGGCTGTGGAGATTAGAAGCAGGGGAAGAAAACAAGGTCAGGGAAATTACCAGAGGTAGATAATAAAGGATTTGGGGTTGTAGACCAGGCACTTGGGACTTTTTTTTTTTCTTGGATTTTCGAGACAGGGTTTCTCTGTGGCTTTGGAGCCTGTCCTGGAACTAGCTCTTGTAGACCAGGCTGGTCTCGAACTCACAGAGATCCGCCTGCCTCTGCCTCCTGAGTGCTGGGATTAAAGGTGTGCGCCACCATCGCCCGGCTTGGGACTTTATTTTATAGGCAGAACACAACCACTAAAGGCAGGTGTGTGTGTGTGTGACCATGTGTGTGTGTGCATTCGTTTGTGCACCTAGAAGCCAAAGGAGGATTTGGGGTATCTGACTTACTCTCTCTTCCTCATTCTCTTGAGACAGGGTCTCTCATTGCATTGGCGAGGTTGGTGGTCAGCAGGCCCCTACACTTTCCCCGTCTCTGCTCCCCACACTACCGAGGATTACAGGTTTATGAGTCTTTTTACATGGGTGCTGGACATTTGAACTCAGGTCCTCATGCTTGTGGAGCAAGCACTATTACCTCATGGTCCATCTCCCCAGCTCCTAATAGAGGACTTTAAATGGGGTTTAACAAAGACAGATTTTTTTTCAGGCCAAACACAAATCTCCAGTAGCGTTGTGGAGAGAAGTCTGAAATCGGTGAGATTAAAAGCAAGAGATGGTGAGGTCCTGAGTTCACCCAACAGCCTCAAATCCCCTTCATATATCTTGAAATAACAGGTCTAGAAAATTCTTTATCTGATATTTGAGGGGCTTGTCTTTTTCATGAGTCTTCCTACAATGTTCATGCTCATCTATGTTGACATTATCTCCTAATATCATCTAAAAACATGGTTCTTAAACTTTAAGGGCATCAACACCACTTGGAAGACTCCAGTCAACAGCTTGCTGGCTCCACCCCAGCTCCACCCCAGAGTTTCTGAGCCAGTCAGTCCAGGGTCAGGCCTGAGAGTAAGCTTTTGTACCTAGTGTTCTGAAGATGCTGATGCTGCTAGCCCAGAGGTCTCACATTGAACTGCTAAAGGCGGAAATTAAGATGTTTTGAAAGACCTGAAAGGGAGGGCCTATGAATAATTCTAGAGTTCTTGAGGCATTTGTCCTGCTGTAGGCTGCCCCAGGCCACAAGCATCAGGGTGTGTAGGAGTCCTTGAGCCTCCAGTTCTTATTAACTGCTTGCTTGCTTGAGGTTTTTGTTTTGTTTGTTTTGTTTTTTAATAGAGCCTTATTATGTAGCCCTGGTTGTCCTGGAACTCTCAGCAATCCTCCTGCTTCAGCCTTCTAAGTTCTGAGGGTGCAGGTGTGTACTACCCTGCCCAGCTAGGTTTATATTAAATGTCACATGCAATTCTCCTAGTGAGAAAATGCAAAGCAGCTCAGAGTTGGAGAATCTAGAAGCATACAAGGGTTGCTTTGTCCCACCCCTTTGTAATTCTGCCCAGCCTCTCCATCCTGCCTTTGAGCACACACCCTCTCATCCGGCTCCAGACCTCTCTTCCTGGCCTGTCCACGTGTTCCAGTCTTAGCCCCTCTCACTCTTTTGTCACTCCAGTCTGACCTCTCCCGGAGCTTGCCCACTGGGTGGACTTTTGGCTGAATTTTACTAGAGTCAGACCAAGAAATTGCTTGTCTCATTTGAGGTCACCTTCATGACTAAACATCTGTATGGTGTGGTCATTGCAAATTGCAGTCCATCTTTACCCCAAGATAAATAATCCTCTGAGAATCCAAGAACAACCAACCCCGAACTCTTGGGCTTGTTGTAATAGGAGGAACAAGTCCCAGCAATTCCCTCAACGCTGACTCATCACTCCTGCAATGACAGAGTACTTGAAAAATGGTTGTTAAAGAGAAAACATGTTGGTTTGCGCAGGAAACGAAACAAGAGTTTCTTTTCTTTCTTTTTCTCAATTTTAGACATAACAAAAGGGTGACCTCTATCTAGGAGCCAGATAGCTGTTGTGTGCCCACCCTAATGTTGTTTGATTTTTTTTTTTTGTTTGTTTTTATTCTTTTGTCTTTGGGGGCCTGCCACCCAGCTCCCAACTAAACACGTGGAGAATTATTCTTTCTTATGAATTCTTGGCCTTAGCTTCGCTTGTTTCTATCCAGTTTTTCTTAACATAAATTATCCCTTCTACCTTTTGCCTCCGGGCTTTTATCTTTCTGTAAACCTTACTTTACTTCTTACTCCGGGCTTGCTGTATAACTGGGTGGCTGGTCCCTGGAGTCCTCCTCTCCTTTTTTTTTTTTTTTCATTTCCCCTCCCACATTCTTCTCCTATTTATTCTCTCTGCCTGGCAGCCCCGCCTATCCCTCTCCTGCCTAGTTATTGGCTGTTCCGATCATTATTAACCCAGTCAGGTGTTTTAGACAGAAA